TTCTCTTTTCCCCTGTGCATATAACAGAGTTGCAAATCAGTAAGTCTTTTGCCTGTACAGACAACCAAACGGAATGAAATGCCAGTCTCCCTTTCTTTTAGATGAACTCAAACCTTGATTCTTACCTTCTGGATTCAGTGATGACACTGCCATTTTCCTGTAAGAGGGGAGGGAATATCCTCTTTTCATAAACTCTATGTTTCCTTGAAATTCCAATAACCCCCCTTTCTTTTTAGCCTTTTTAGATTTACATTGAGGGAAAGGTGTTAGAATATTGATCACAGTATTGGTTCAAAAAAATGAAACTCTCAGTAAGCCCTGAGAGGAGAAGCTGGTACCAACTACTCTTGGCTCCTTAAAGCTAGAAGAAGGGCTGCTTAATTATCCTCAGCTTTGGATCTTAGCCACAAGTTTGGAACAAGAGGAAAAATCCCACTTAACATCCTATTGCATATGTATCTCTAGCTGTAGAAAAGGTGTTAGTCCCAGACTTAAGAACAAGACCGTGTCTAGGACGTATTTGGTATTCATTCAGCATCTAAGGGATTGAATCTAGGAGAGAGCAGTGAGTTTTAGGATATTCACTACAGATAAACTAATCAAAGTCAATGGTATTCAGGTCTTCACAGATGAAAAAAATTGCTATTCTGTAATTAAATACAACGGTGACTTTGCTGAAATGAAGAGTGAAATGAATTTTCGAAAAGTATGTTATATTATTGCTAATGTGAAAAGTCATTTGGGTTGGGTGTTGAAAGATGAGTAGTAATTTAACAAATGGTGAGAAGACAGGGGAACGACAATTCCAGAGGCAAAGAAGCATGAAACAGATATCTGTGAATAATGACTGCCTTGTGTAGCTGGAGCTGGTCAGGTGGTGTGGAAGTGGCAGAAGAGTTTGGAAAGGTAGACTGGAACCAGATATGCAGCATTAAGAATTTTGGGGCTTCCCTGGTAGCGCAGTGGTTGAGAGTCCGCCTGCCAATACAGGGGACACGGGTTCGTGCCCCGGTCTGGGAAGATCCACATGCCGCGGAGCGGCTGGGTCCATGAGCCATGGCCGCTGGGACTGCGTGTCCGAAGCCTGTGCTCTGCAATGGGAGAGGCCACAACAGTGAGAGGCCCGCGTACCACAAAAAAAAAAAAAAGAATTTTGAATTTTCCCGTTTTGAAGCACTTGGGAGCTATGGAAAGGTTTTGAAGTAGGGGAATATCACCATCATTTCTTTTAGAAAAATAGCTGGTAGCATTCTAAAGAAGAATGGATTAGAGATGGGCAAGACTGACAGCTATATATCAGTTAGGAGACTCTTGACTTGTAAGTAATCATATTTGCCATCACTATAATAGGTTGAATCCTGATCATGTCATTTTGAAAATATGTTTCTGCTACCATATACTTTCCACAGAATTAGATTTATGGAGCATAATCTTTGACTCTAGGCTATTCCCAGAGTAGGATTTCTGAATATGATATGCTCACGGTCT